AGGAGCAACAGGCTGAGACGACCGAGCCTGCCTCCTCGTGGGAAAAGCTCCCAAGCCTGCGTCTGAATGGGCTTGTATTGCTCCCTCGCGGGGGTGGACGCATTTGTCTTGTTGCATCTTGCAAATATCAGTTGAAACAGAACGGGTCGAGATCCCTCGCCTCGCTTTACTCCAGACCTGTCAGCGAGCCTAAAACAGCTGGCGATTTTGCAAGGGACGCTGGAAGGGAGAGGGAGCGATCGTAACGCAGCAACATTTCTCCTTTACAAGGGGTCAATCGTCTCTTATCTATTTTTATTCCCTCTCTTTTGAAGTGGTTGCAAAATAGATCGAAATCGTAACTGCGACTTTCTTTGTCGGCTGTTTCCAGCCGCGGTGGGTAGCGGTTTTCTAGTTGTTAGAGTTTCTAACTGTTGCTTCTTGCAAGGCAGGGGGAAAGCCTGTTGCTTTTCTAGAATCAGCCACCCGGGTAACAGCCAGATCCAGAGGAATAAAAATGCCATTTTTATTTCACTTGCAAAAAATATACGTATATATCATGGCAGCAGAAATTTGGACATCTTGAATAATTTAAAGAGCAAAACCTTTGGGAATTGTATCACTCTAGCTATAAAGGCTATTGAATTGTCTTCCATTTCATTCCTAGTGTGTCGTTTTATTTTAATATGCTATGGTTTAAGGATTTTTCTTTTCCTTTTTTAGGTTATGTCGGGAAAGAAATAAATATGTCTGTAGCAGATTGAATAGGCATAGAATAAAAAGTGTGACTATCAAATGTCTGTATTTTATAGTTGTAACGGCCCCTGCTTTAAATAGCTTATTTAAAATACTATTTAAAAATATTATTGTTGTCCTGAAAAAATACATTTTTAAAACTTAATGCACAATAGTATTTTCTGATTTAAAAAAGGTTTTTAGCAGATTGACTTCTTATAGTCTGCTTACATACATGTTAGTCAAAGCAACCCAAGTCACACTATTTGCAAAAACTCTGAGGAATGTAATAACATTCATGTGCACGTGTGCAAATCATGCCCAATCCATGCAAATGCAACTGGACAAATTAGACAAAGTTAGCTTAATAAGTTGTATCATGTAGATAAATGATGATAATATCCTCCTTTTCATTCATTTATTTTAGCCTTTAAGCATCCACAGATACAGTTTATAAAACAAGAGAAGTTTCCAAAAGATCAGAAGGCAAATTGACATATACATTTTTGGGCTTTTTAAAAAACTGAATTAAATAGAAAAGCTGTTAATCAAAGCAACTACTATAACAGAAAACTTTGTATAAACAGTTGTCCAGTTGGGTTCATGCATAAGCTCAAAAAAACAACTGACTTTAATTTCAATACCACTGGACATTTTTTCCTAATGATTAAATAATGCCATCTGTTTATTCACTGCAACTTGTGCATATGCACTTGAGTTTTTAAATGGTCATCCTACCAATAAACTTTTGAAAAATACTCTTACCTGTTCATAATGGTGTTAGACCTATGATAGGAAAACAGAAACTACTGAAAGTTGAAAAATAATAAACTGTTATTTACTTGTTCTCCCTTGTTTCTCCTTTTAACAAGAGCTACCATCAGGACCCAACATTTATTTCATCCTCTTCCATCTATGACAAAGCATTGACATCAATAGGTTGGAAATAACACCAAGAAAAAGGGGGATAAAGGAGTATTTTTCAGATTGAGGGTTCTATACAAAAATGACTTTGATGGTTCACCTCTACTCCATAAGAGATTTGTCTAGTGCATGCTATGATTTTTAGAAGATGTAAGAAGGTTTGAAAATTCATGGGAAATAAGATTCATTGCTTTTTATATTAAGACTGTTTTCATACCCCAGTAGGCAACACATTTTATGATTGTTTAATAGGAAATTTTCATCAAAATTAACAACAACAAGAATGGACAAGAATATAATAAAAATAGCTTTTAAGAAAATTTATTACTAAAACATTTCTCTTTTTCATATTTGTATTCATTACCATTATGACCCATCCCATGGCTGGGAAAATGAATTAAATGAATGGATTTGAGAACTAGGTTCTGTCCATTTTTGTTCTTTTCCTCTGCTTTCTTAAGTAAAATATAATTCTAGAGTGGTTTGTAGCATTGTCTGTTTTAAGTACTAATATCACATCGAGTATTTTCTGACTCATGACCTTCAGGATTTGAAGTGGTTTTTCTTTTTTTTTTTTCAAGTTAAGAAAAACAAAGGAGCCTTTAAAGTAGGAACCTTCAAAAATCTCTACAATCAAGAATCTGTGAATGCAAATACTGTAAAGGATAACCCTGATGCAGAAAAGATATATAGATATATGCAGAAAGACTTCTCTTTGGACGATAATATTATTGATGAAATTAGAAAGAATTTTTATTCTGGCATCATGGGATATACATGGGGGACCCCCCAAAACAGAATTATCTTTTAGAGTGTGGGTCTTTTGTAGTACAGGCTTCCTCCACTAGGTGTGTTGTAGGAATCCATTGGTATCAGTGTATCAGCTAGCATTGTTGTGAGAAGCTACAGTTCAGCTTCAGGGAATTTTGGGGAAGAGATTCTTTCAACGCGTTTGCCCATTTCATCATGGGTGATTTATGAGCACAACTGCCCATACTGCGCTGAGTGTTCAGCATATTTTGACCAAAAATGGCATGACCCCCAAGTCCCATCATCCCTATTCACCCAATCTTGCTCCAGGTGACCTTTTTGGGTTTCCCCATGAAAAAAAGTCCTCAAAGGGAAATGCTTTGTCGATGCGGGAGAGGTAAAAAGAAAATAAAACCAGCAAACAAAATGGTAGAAGCACTAAAGGGTATCAAAATTTATGAGTTCCAAACTGTTTTAGGCAGTAGAAAAAGCATCTTGATAGGTGTATTGCATCCAAAGGAGAGTGCTCTGAAGGCGACTGAAGTTTAAACATGTAAGAATAAATACACAATTTTAAATAAATTAATTCTGTTTTGGGGGGTCCCCCACCTTATATGGTGCATGTGACAGTAACTACATAGGATTATCATTTTCTTAACTGTCATTTTTAAAAACCATGATTACCATTTATAATATATTAAATCCTTCAAACTTTGTCTTTTAACAATTTCTGCCAAGTGCACCTCCCCGCCCCCACTCACACAGAGGACTGCCTAAAGATGAACAGGCAGTTAGGGTAAATGGGACAAGAGAGCCCAGGAATTGCCCTTAAAGTGGCCAAGCTCCTCAAAACACAGACAGTCATAGGCAGATTTCCTCTTTGAGAAGTGATTTGGGAAAACATGGTATCAACCACCTGCAAACAAGTAATGGAACTCTTGTATTTCAAACTCCAGTGTGTAGCTGTTCCCTCTGACCCAAGAAGTGGATCCTGGTCACCAAGTAGGAGTTCCAGCCACCAGGCCTCTGTCCCTGATCTGAAAACACTATAGCCCATGTGCTCACCCCCAGAAGACTTTATATCTACTGAGTCCTGATTCACTGTAGCTCTCAGTCCAACCAGTTCCAGCAAAAGATAGCTATCACATCTTCACTGTCTTTCCTTCCTTCAAATGTGAATAGGTGCAGCAGTGAATGCTTTCACAGGCATTACAATGAACAATGATGGAAAAATCTAAAATGATCCAATTTTATAAATAATGCTTAAGAAATTAAATTTGCCAAATAGGCACTTACATTCCATTGTTGTTATTGTTATTTTAATATTTGACTCTGGAGATTTCTGGTATACACTTCAGTTATGTCTAATTACCATGACTGTGGTGACTCAAAACAGTAACCACTTGCCAGAATCCCACTTCCCACATTCATTTCTTTTAGTCAGAGCATCTCAATCTTTAAAGCATACCTGAATCACTCTGGTATTCTTGTTAAGATGAAATTTCTGAATCAGAGGTGTGGGGTGAACCTGGGTGATACTAGTGGCTGGTGTGTAGACAGTGAGTAACAAGCTTGTGCTCCATTATTCTAAGACCTAGCTTTGATAAGAAATGAACATTTTTTCCTCTTAAACTTCTCTAGTAATAGCATCATATATCTCAAGGTTCCAAGTTAATTTTCAGGTTAATTTCCAGCTGGCCAAACAGATAGCTTTGCTCTAGGTAGAAGCTTAATTCAGCAATTGGTACTAAGTCACAGGATAAAGAAAAGAGCCTGGGTGATGGAGCTTGACCTAAACTAATAAGCAGTCTTCCTAACTGTGTCAATACCTATGGATCAGCCCAGCTTAAATGACAGCCATGAAAATGGCTACCAAATACAATAACTCAACAATACTGTCCTATTGCTTTACAGAACATTTATGAGTTTTCTTCTTCAAGATTGCAAACTATTCCCCCATCCCACCCCACCCCACTGAGGAGCTGGCAATAGCTTTGTAAAATAGCCTAAACATACTCATGGTGTCAATAAATTCTTGGAGGTTATTACAGAATTTCCATTGCAAACAGAGCAAATAGTTCAGTACCATTTATAGGCAGATACAGACATCAGTAGTTAAATAAAGATACAATTATGTTTTTCTCTTATGTGAGTAATCACCCAGGTCTTTCATTTAGATGCCAAGTTACAAATTCTTCCCTTGC